CATCCCCCCCCCACACAAAATAAACACACACACACACACACACACACACACACACACACACACAATTCCCTTGATGTTTCTATCTCTCTCTTTTCATTCTCTGAAATCAATAAAAGTATATATTTTTTTTAAAAAAAGGATATTAAAGAAAGCCCCCTCCCAATGGGGAGTGTATACCATACCTATTTTTAAAAATATATATTTTATTGATTGTTTACAGAGAAGATGGGAGAGGGATAGAGAGTTAGAAACATTGATGAGAGAGAAACATCAATCAGTTGCCTCCTGCACACCTCCTACTGAAGATGTGCCCGCAACCAAGGTACATGCCCTTGACCGGAATCGAACCTGGGACCTTTCAGTCCGCAGGCTGATGCTCTATCCCCCCTGAGTAAAATCGGCCAGGGCTATACCATACCTATTAATTGAAAGATTCAATGTGTCATGATGTTAAGACTTTCCAAATTGATCTAATGACACCCAGCAGATTGTTTTGGCAAATTGACAAACTGATATTAACATTAGTTTGGAAATGTAAGCAGCTAAGATTAGCCAAAAAATATTAAAGAAGTAGGACAAATTTGCAAGACCTACACTGCCAGATGTCAGAACCTGTTATACAGGTTGATAGTCTCTACTGGAAACACTAGAGTCCCTCAAGCTGCCACAGTGTGGTTTCTACCCGTCTCTCATCTTGTGTTGGTAGAAGATGAACACCATACTGTGAAAATGGGACCTCCAAGACCACTGAGGTCAGTGTGGGTGAAACACATCTTACCTTGGGGATGAGGTAATTTCTGAATTTAACATCACAGGTCACTGCATGGGGCAGGTTGGGGAGGAGGTTAAGGTATCTCTGGACCTCGTGCACCATGGCATCCGTGTAGGGCATGTGGCTCCTGTCCTGCATGCAGGGGCTCCTCTCTCTGCCAATGACGTGGTCAATCTCTTCCTGGACTTTAGCTGGTAAGACATAAGTAAGACAGATGGAAAACAGGAAAATGCATACCGTATTTACATACCGATTGAGGGATACATGCAGCACTAGGGTGTCTCTATGTCATTATAAACATCAGTTAAA